TCCTCAGATCCAGAGCTTAGGTTTTTCTACCAGGGGCCGCTGGGTGAGCTGGAGAGGGGGCGCTGTGTCCTGTGGCAGGTTGCCTTTCTGTCCTTCCCCTCTGTCCTCCCCTCTGCTAGGGAAAGCTTATGGCGGCACTCTCAGGGGAGTGCCAGAAGGGGTTGGGACTTCTCAGTCCCAATCCTGAGCCAGGGTTTCTCTGCCAGGGTCCGGGGGGCCGCCGGTGCTAGGACTTAGTGCTAGACCTTATTGTGCTGGACCCGGGAGAGTCTCAGGATGTGTTGAATGATCACAGTCCCAGATCCCGAGCTGAAGTTTGTTTGCTAGGAGCAGCCAGCAGCACTGGGGTCCGGGCGCTGTGAAGCCGCTGTGTGCCTCTCTATCCTTCCGCTCCACTGCATCAGGGTTATGGCGGAGTTCTGGTTCTTGGGGGAGTGTCCGAAAAGATTGGGTTTTCTCAGCCCCAATCTCGGGTTTGTTTGTTTGTTTGTTTGTTTGTTTGTTTGGTGAGAGCTGCCGCTCTCACTGGGACTGGAGTACAGACAGTGTGGTCTGTGGCAGATTCTGCTGATGTCTCCTGCCTCCTCCAAAGAGGGAGTAGGGTTTTGGGTGCTGGGAAGTGTCTGGGGATCACCTCTTGGGGTGTCTCCTCCCGGAGGAGTCTGCCATGACCTGATTCTAGATGGACTCAGATCATGGTTAGTCTCTTTCTTCTTGGAAGTCTAGATAACTCTGTTCTGGGTTGATGATCCCCTTCACTCACCAATTTCCACATTGCGGGTCCTCTCCCCTTCAGCTAAGCTGCACACTAGCTGCCACCATCTTGGAAGTGATCTTTTTCTTACATTTCAGTAGACAGCTGAACGAGGTGATACTCCTCCATTCTCAATTGGATATTAAATCTTTCAGAAGAAGCCACTGTGAAATTACTTTGATGGACTGTTATACCATGTTATATTTTCAATATCTTTCATAGTTTTCCAAATAATGGATGAGAACACAGGTGTTGAAGTACAGGAAAATCCTGTACATGAAATATCACAGGAGAAACATTTTGACATGAATGATGAAATCCCAGTATTGCTAGGTAAAACAGCAAGTGGAAATGAAGATAATTCTCTTGAGTGTTCTATGTTTGAGGATCTCCCCTTCTGTGAATATGATGAATATTCTTAAACATCTTACACCCTATAGGGATCGTATCATTTCATACAAGTATGAAAGCAATTTTCCTACTCTACTTCCAGTGTATTCTTTTAAAGCAATGACAGCTATTAAAGTTTGCCTGTCATTTAGAGTGTAAAAGCATCTAAATATACAAACCCTTTTGTGCAAAACATTGTTCCATGCATGAGTGTGAGAGAATGATTGCTATGAGTATCATGACACAAATTGACCATCCACTGATGGGTTCTTGGTGTATGCTGGAACTCAGTCTTTGTGTGTGTGTTTGTGTGTGTTTGTTTGTTTGTTTTGTATGTGTGTGTTTGTTTGTGCCTCTTTTGCATGGGAAGAAGATGAGAAAGTTGTTGAATTGAAGTCCATGTTTTTGTGAGAACTTTCTGTGGAAAGGTATGGTCTCCAATATATACTTCCACATATGCTGCTAAAATGTCATATGGTGTTTTCTGAAAAGTGCAAGTTCAGTTGTGTTCCTAGATAGCAGCTATATACAGACTGAAATGTGTATCCATTATCTTTGACAGGGAGTTCCTGGCACTCAGATGGCCCAAGAGGTTTCAGCAGACAGTATTCTGGCCATGCATCAGAAAGCAGTTCTATGCACCCTTGAGGTAGCTGCTAGGCAGCCTAGTAAGTAGTATACTTTGTCATCAGGTATTACCTGTATGGGACCTTAGTGTAAGATAGTGGTCAGGTATGGTGTTGCACATAAAGATTATCAAATACCTATGTGGCAAACAGACAGGAGATCAACCTAAAAGTAAGATTCTCATGTTACCCTTTTGGAGCAGCATGAAATCTGAAATACTCAAACAATGAGCTGTATTATGAGACTCTTAAATGTGATATTGAAAGAGTCAACAGGGAGAAGAGGGACTGAGAAAATGGGTGTACACGAGCACCAAAGGGAGGCCACCGTTTTGGTGTACTTGGTGGGGGGGGGGGGGGGATGATGTGGCGATAAAAAGACATTGATGGAACGAGAAAGATGAAAAGGGTCAACGTGAGATTTTAGCTTGGAACCTGTTTAAGACTGTGAGAGTGGAGCGCCAAAACCTTCGATTGCTCTGTTTGTGTGCATGTTGCAGGATGGAATGAATGCTGATCATTAGAGGTGATATATAGGGTAGTGTATATGAAAATAAAAATAAAAAAGTGATCAATCTCTTAGGGAAAATTATCATGTGAACGTGGAGGTGTTCTATCAGTTTGGTATTCCATAATCCACCTGTTGGGAAGCATGTTAGAACAATATTTCCATTTTAACAGTCTGGGATTCACTTTTTTGAATAAGGTCTGCAGCATTGCAGCAGGTAATATTCCTTCTACCAGTCTCCTACAATCAAAGAATAAAAACTATCATCAAAGAATTTTATGGCATTTCCGAAGCACAGTAGTATAAGAGGTAATAGACCTATGGAAAACAGATTTTGTTTTAATTTCTGTACAGTTTCAGGCTGAGGAAATCAAGCATATCTGAAGAACTACAAAATTATAATACCATATCATTCTTAAGTACTAGTTCAATATGAGTCTTGAAATTATTCTTAAATTATTTCTGATCAGTTTATATAAAAGTTAACATTAGAATAATGCTTAACTTGAAGGTGAAATGGATGAAGTCAAGATATGTGTGCAATGGTTATTTGAAAAGGATGGTTACTCTATTGTATAGGAAGAAGGAAAGAATGAACTTGGTAAGTTTTGAGTTCATTTTGCAGACTCTTGCAAGAAGACAAGGTATTTGTATTCAACTCAAATAATAGATGGTAGGGACTTTTGGAAACATGAGGAAGGACTGAAATTGAGGTAAACTGCACCAATCACTCCTCCCTTCCCAATTTTCAAGTGTAATCTACATTGATCTTAGGTAATATTACAGATAAACCTAAATATTAATGGAAAAGATTTTTTGGAGTTTAGATATTTTTATGTTAAGTGATTCAAGAGTGAGACTCAAAATATCTGTGGATGCCATTTTTATAAGTGAGGACATTCGGCTTACTGCTGGTTTGTTACTGTGTGTGTTTCACTGTATCAGTTAGTTCAGAGCCCTTGATCAGTCATGGATTCAAGTCTGTAGCTATAAATGCTACCATATAAGATTAATACATGATTTCTTTTTGTTCTTTTCTTGCATAGTTACCATATTTTAGAGACCTTTTACCATCCTCTAGCATAGTTCTTGGTAGCTGTTCATGCAAAGTCATGGATTGGTACATCTTATACATGCTCTCATTTCTTTTTTTTAATTTTTTATTAATTACACTTTATTCATTTTGTCTTCCTCCTGTAGTTCCCTCCCTCATCCCCTCCAAATCCCTTCCATCTTTCCCCTTCTCCACACATGCCCCTCCCCAAGTCCACTGATAGGGGAAGTCTTCTTTTCCTTCCTTCTGATCCTAGTCTATTAGATCTCATCAAGAGTGGCTGCATTGTCTTCTTCTGTGGCCTGGTAAGGCTGCTCCCCCCTCAGGGGGAGGTGATTAAAGAGCAGGCCAATAAGTTCCTGTCAGAGACAATCCCTGTTCCCATTACTATGGAACCCACCATGGGCTACATCTGTGCAAGGGTTCTAGGTTATCTCCATGTATGGTACTTGGTTGGAGTATCAGTCCCAGGAAAGACCCCTGTGCTCAGATTTTTTGGTTCTGTTGCTCTCCTTGTGGAGTTCCTGTCCTCTCCAGATCTTACTATTTCCCACTTCTTTCATAAGATTCCTTGCTCTTGTTTCTTTTTAATGCTTCTATTTTAATTAAATTTTCTTATTGTTGGAGGTGTTCTGTTTAAGGATTTTTCCCAGGATCTCAACATCATAGGCACACGATGTGACAATGATCTACACATTCCTGTTAAAAGTATTGGGCTGTTATATGATTTGTTACAGGAAGCATTATAAAGTAGCTGAATGAGCTCTGTCACCACAGAATAGAAAAGTGACAGTGGAACACAAATGCTATAAAAGAGTTTTTGTAGGTCATTCACATGTGACTTGTTTCTTCAAGAGATGAGGAGAGTCCAGTTCTGCCCCTTGCCTAACTATTGTAAACACAGATTGCTCTGTAAACATGGAGGTCCAAGCATGTACAAACTACATATTAGACTTGCATAACCCAAGTCCTTCCCAACACTGAATGCTGAGACTGTTCTCGACCTGTGCTACCATCTTCTATTTCTTAAGTACCTAGTGATATCCTAACAATCCTAGTGTCAGAAAGTGAGAGCGGTTCCATTTGATATTCCTTTCCATCTCTTCCTACACTGCCATGCATGCCCCTCCATTTTGTGCTCTAGAGTGTCCTTAACTCATGACTTTGTGTTTTGGACATAGAATTTCCTATAGAAATCCACCAGCTGACAACTGTTATTTTGCTACTTGAAACATGGTATCAAAACCTTACAGGAAACATACATATTGAGTAAAATAGATTTTGCTCCTATCAAGATGATTTAAATGATTGCCCACTAGTACATGAGAAAAACTTATGATGGAAGATCAAAATAAGTTTCTGCTCAAAGGATAAAAATAGAGTTAGGATCAGTAAACACTAAGCTAACCACAGGGAAAGGAGCACCCATTAACCTTTTGTATGTTGGTATAGATGGAACATTCTGGGTGTAGGATGTGACCAAATGGCACACTGAAATACAAATCCAAAGTATTTTTATAAGAAGTAAATATTTCAGTTGTAGATTGCACTTTATTGTTCTTTGGTCTTTATTCCATGCCCACTATCTGCCACTGGTCTAAACTGAATATCTCCTGTTCCTTTCTCTCTCCTATCCCAGTGGCAATCGGGGGAAAATTTGAAGAAGAAATGGTAGCACTAGTCATTGACAATGGCTCTGGAATGTGCAAAGCGGGCTTTGCTGGGGATAATGCCCCCAAGCCTGTGTTCCCTTCCATCATTGGGAGACCTCAATGTCAAAGCGTCATATCTGCAATGGGCCAGAAGGACTCCTATGTGGGCAAGGATGCCCAAAGCAAGAGGGGTCTCCTGGCTCTGAAGTACCCTATTGAGCAAGGTATTATTATCACCTGGGATGACATGGAGGAGATCTGGCATCACACCTTCTACAACGAGCTGCGTGTGGCTCCCAAGGAAAACCCAGTGCTTATTACAGAGCACCCCATGAACCCCAAAGCTAACAGAGAGATGATGGTGCAAATAATGTTTGAAACCTTCAACACTCCAGCCACGAATGTGGCCATTCAGGTGGCGCTGGCTCTGTATGCCTTGGGGCGCATAACAGTAATTGGCTTGGACTCTGGTGATGGGGTCACACATACAGTGCCCATGTGTGAAGGCTGCTCCCGTCCCCATGCCATCTTGAGTCTGAACCTGGCTGGCAGGGAACTTACAGATTACCTCATGATGATCCTGACTGAGCGGGGGCTACGGTGTTACCACCACTGCTGAGCAGGAGATTGTACATGACATGAAAGAAAAACTGTGCTATATTGCATTAGATTTTGATCAAGAAATGGTGTCTGCTACATACTCCTCTGTTTTGGAGAAGAGGCACAGACTTCCTGATGGCCACATCCTCACTATAGGCAGTGAGCGATTTTGGTGCCCAGAGGCACTCTTCCAGCCAGATTTCCTGGGCATCAAGTCTTTGGGCATTCACAATACCAACTTCAGTTCCATCTTGAAGTATGATATGGATATCCGCAAAAGCTTGTATGGCAACATTGCGTTGTCTGGTGGTACCACCATGTGTTCAAGCATGAATGACAGGATGCTGAAGAAGCTCACAGCCCTAGCACCCAGCACAATAGAAGTCAAGAGCATTGCTCGCAATGATCGCAAATTCTGAGTCTGGATCGGTAGCTCCATTGTGGCCTCACTGCCCACCTTCCGGCAGATATGGATCAGCAAGCAGGAATACGAGGAGTGGGTCCCTTCCTTAGTCCACTGCAAATGCTTCTAGATGGACTGAGTAGATGCTGGGTATCTGCTCCATTAGCTTATTTTGAAATATCAATTTTCTCTGGCAGATGTATACTTCACATAACCTCACAAAACTAATATCAGCATTGGACCAAAGAACTTGTTGCTGATTTATGATCTTGTATTCAAGTTGTTTATTTAATTCCACTGGTACATGTTTAATATCCTATACATAACTTGAGTTAGTCCTTAGGCCATGTGGCTTGGTCACTTGGAGGCTATAGAGAACAAGCTATAAAAAAGAAATCTCCAGCCTGTTGGATCTGCAGATAATATTTAGTGATCTTGGACAGTGGTACTAACTTACTGCTGACTGTTCCAGGATTTCTTGAGGCTGGCAAGGGTTCCTGGACCAGTTATCACCTCTGTTGTGTCAAGTCCTGCCAGGTGGGAGAGTCTACATCTTAGGACCTATCTAGTGTTTTCCCTCCTGAACCCCATGGATTGTTACTTGCATTGAGTAGGAAATGTTTGCATTAACACCTCCAAAGTTATTCTCCTTTTTACTTCAGTAAGATTTTACGTATTCAGTCCTTTACAAATGACAAATTTTGGATTTCTACTGGTCAGTGAGAACATGAAGCCCCAGTAACATGTCATTTTGTGAAGAAAAATACAATCACCCAGGATAAACAAATTTTAATTTGTTAAATAAAAATATTTCCCAAACTAATTTTTAAGAATTATTCATCATAATAGCAAATAGTTGTTTATCTAAATATTCAGTATAGTTAGCTTAGTGGGTTTCTCAACAGAATCTATCTTGGAAGACTAAACACAGAAGCCAGAAAAAGAGCAAAAACAGCTCACTGGTTAAAAAAAAATAAGTAGCCATTATTAAGTAATTATTTAAATTTCAGTTACACTGTGCTGATTTCTAAAAGACATTAAATATATGCTGTTTTCTCAGTAATGTTCTTGAAACCAAAGGATGTTAAATTTCATATTTCTTTTAGCACTAATAACTCTTGTCTCCACTTAATATTTTCACCACAGTGTATCCTCCCACTGTTATTTCTTGTCACCTGTGTTCTATTCTCTCCTCTAATTACATATTTCTTGATTGCAAGATCATATGTTAATATATAGATTTTTTTGCAAATCTTCATCTGGGTGAAACAGTCACCTCTCCTTTCTCCATCTTGTAACTACTTCATGTTTGAGCCTTTCCAATCTTTCTCCTTCCATAGTTTGATTTTACCTGTATTTAACTATCTCTTCTCCCTCAATGGGCCCATGAACAACAGTTTAATTCTAATTACATAATTTCCACATGTAGTCCAAGTTAAATGTACAAAAAGTTCAAAGCTAGGGTTCACATATGACAAAACTATACAGTGGTTGCTCTTCTGAGCCTGGCTGATAGTCAAGTATGTGTTTTCCAGTGACACACATTTTCCTGAGATTTTTAATTATCTCTTTTTCATTACAGCTGAGTGATTATATATACATAAAAACACATATTCAACCAGACATATATATAAAAAATGTTTGGCTGTTTGATTAATGTGGCTTGCCCACCATGTACCTCTTCCTCCTGATTGTGTGTTTTACTCACGTGACTTTCCTTAATCTTCAGAGTATGAATTGCCTGATGCTCTGTATAAAGTTGACTGTTATATGAGACTTTAGTCTACTTGATTTGTCTGCCCTGTTCTTTCAGATCCCACTGCCATTTTAGAGTCGTAAACAATCCTAGGCTTGTTTTATTTAGTTTGTAGAATTTTTTGGATAGTTTTAATTTTTTATAGTTATAAATATACTAAAATTGATTATTTTATCTTGATTTAATTTTTTATATAAGGTTAATCTGTCCCGTTTGCCTTTCTGAGTGAGGATTGAGCATCTTGCTCAGGGAAAAGGACAGGAACCTACCACAGAGGGCTTCTGGAAGAGTGTTCCCATCAGGACATTGAAGCAGATGCTGAGACTCATAGACAAACTTTGGGCAGAGTGCAGGGAATTTTATGAAATAAGGCTGAGATAAAAAGATCTGGAGGGGACAGGGCTCCACTAGGAGAGCAACAAAACCAACAAAACTGGGCCCAGGAGCTTTTTCTGAGACTGATATTCCAACCAAGGACCATTCATGGAGATAACCTAGAACCCCTGTAGATATAGCCCATGGCAGCTCAGTTTCGAAGTGAGTTCCCTAGTAAGGGGAACCATTGCTGTCTCTGACATGAACTCAGTGGCTGGTTCTTTGTTCACCTCTCCCTGAGGGGGGGTAGCCTTATCAGGCCACAGAGGAAGACAATGCAGCCACTCCTTATAAGCCCTGATAGGCTAGGATCAGATGAAAGGGGAGGAGGACATCCTCTATCATTGGACTGGGGAAGGGGCATGTGATAAGAAGAGGGAGAAAGGGTGGGACTTGGAGGGGGTGAGGGAGGGAGATATAGCTGGGATACAAAGCCAATAAATTTTAACAAATAAAAAATAAAAAAGATTAATCTAGAAATGCATCCACAGCTCTAGGCTTAGACTTTTTAACAAACGTACTTTATTTATGATTCTTAAACACTTCTAGATATTTTCCAATCCCCAATACTGGGTAGGAGAGAAAGAAGGTTAGTTGGGACAGGAAGCAGAATTCTCTTTGCTGCTTGGTATAGTCTTGGATTCTTTTGGGGGCAATACCAATATCAGTGATCAAGAAATCCAGAAGTCCAGGTCACCAGCAAATCAGCAAACAGCAAATACAGTAGCAGAATAAGCCAGCAGCAAGCAGTCCTCCTCCAAACAGCCACCCCTTCATTCTCTGGAATAACATATTTATACCCCTCAAAGTACTTAGAATTCAATTAATGCCAGCTGGCAAAGACCATGCTTCACATGAGATACTTAATAGGTGTAGACAAACTAAAATCCCCAACTTGGAATTGTAACAAAAACATGTTTCCATCCAAGGACCATTGATGGAGATAACCTAGAACCCCTGTACAGATGTAACCCATGACAGTTCAGTGTTCAAGTGGGTTCCATAGTAATGGGAACAGTGACTATATCTGACAGAAACTGATTGGCCTGCTCTTTGATCACCTCCCCCTGAGGGGGGAGCAGCCTTACCAGGCCACAGAGGAAGACAATGCAGCCACTCCTTATGAGACCTGATAGACTAGGATCAGAAGGAAGGAAAGGAAGACCTCCCCTATAAGTGGACTTGGGGCGGTGCATGTGTGGAGAATGGGGAGGGAGCATGGGACTGGGAGGGGAGGATGGAGGGGTTTATGGGGGGATACAAAGTAAATAAAGTGTAATTAATAAAAAATGTAAAAAAAAAAAACATGTTACAAATCATAAACCCAAATGTCCGCAACATTTCCCCCTTTCTGTTTAAAAGAAATTGGCTTTTTCTCTAACATTAAAAAACTATATACAATAATAATTATGAAATTATCAGGTAAGAATTATTCACAATGTCCAGTCCATTTGTATTTGGCAATTGTAGAAAAATTATTCCACTATCTATTCTATCCTTAAGTTGTGTATCTAAATCACTGTCGTATATTTTGTATCTATCAACCTAAAAACATCTATCTAGCCTTTAAAACATCTGTTTAACATAAACCACTGTCTTAAGCTTAATTGCAGTTAGACTTTTACTATCTAGCCTTCAACCTCATCAAAGACCCTAGAAGGAAATGATATTACCTAGCCATATAGGAAGCATAGAGCAAAAAGCTTCCAAAGCTATAGAAATGACAGAGACAGTTTGACTGCTTGGGCAGTCAACAGTGGTTTCTCTGTCATTGGGGCATGGAATCTTTAGCCTATTGGCCTAGAATACCTGACAGGCTTTTCTGTGAAACAGAAATTTTGAAGTACCAACAACTTAGGATTTGCTAAATTGGACAGACAGTCAATTTTCCAGTGTCCTGCTTGTTTACAGTTTGTTCAGGCTGCTACCAGCAGTTGAAGGACAGTTTTCCCCCCTAGTGGCTATCTTGACACATTTTTTTTCTTTGATGCACATTATCTTCTTTGAGGTAGATTAGAGGTGCTGCCAGGAGCAGATGTGTCTCTGTCAGAAAAGCCTTTTACTATTAAAATATCTTCAAATGCCATATTCTGTAGATCTCTGAAGACAACCTATCTACCATTATATAGTGCATAATCATATCTATCATCTATGTATCATGTATCTATGGAGCAATGTTGCTTGTGTCTAACTATGGACTATCTTCTTAACCTTGAAAAACGTATATGAGAGAGTAATACATCTTATTTCTGTAATCAACTAAACTAGTATCTAACAAGACAACAAGTAAGATTATAGGTTTCTAATTATCAAATTGCATTTCCAATCATCCTGAACAGTTTGCAAACCACATTTTCAAATGAACTGCTTATGTACAATATATTAAGCAAATATTGAATGAAACAATCTTAAATTTTGACCAATATAAATAATACAAACCAATACACAATATTTGACACTCGTGGATTCAATAATCTACCTTTTATCCTATAGCCCTATATCCCCCCTTTTAAATTTTCCTTTTTTTCTCCTTTCCTTTACTACTAGCTAAGAGAGAGATAAGAGAAAAAGAAAAAGAAAGGGGAAAAGGAAATAGATTCCTGATTTTAACCTTTACTTTGCTTTTTCCCTTACCCTGACCAATCCATAACCCACCAAATGACCAGTGACATCTAACCTAACTTTTGGAAATACAGGTGTAGTGTTCTTAAAATTATTTTTGTTTTCTAGTGGAAAACATCTTTTTGGGTACCATCGAAAAATTAAGATATTGATCAAGTGCTGGGAAAGTTAGTTGTATCTTTCCTGTCTAGTCTCTGTGGTAGCAATCATTTGGGCTTGCCCTTTTGAAGTTGACCTGGGTGTAGATTCTTAAGGAAACAGTA